GATGTACGTGATTCAACAAATTAATATTCCTTACATACCCCCCCTCCCCTCTCTATGTCTCTCTTCCCCCCCCTCCCCTCTGTCTCTCTCCATATCTCTCTCTGTCTCCTGACCTTATTTCACGTACAAAGTTATCTGTATACTGTAGCCAAGCAGCAGGATAACGAACAGGACACAGCCGATGATGAACACATCACATCACTATAGTCTGTCTCTTGTCTCTAGTCTCTCCACATACACACACACAAACACACACAACACACACACACACACACGTGCAACACTACACCAGGCCATGTGTGTGTGTCACGCCCCTCTCTCAGCGCCTGAGATAATCATCACACTGCATTGTACTAGGTTTAGAGAACCACATCATACTATAACCTTTTCTCAGCGCCTGCTTAGTTTTAGTAAGTGTTTTTTTATGGCACTTGCAACACAATAAGGTCATATAAGTGCCGAAGATTACAGATAAAGACGATAGACATTTGATAGGAAAGAAGAAGCAAACCACACCAGATCACCCGCCAACCACCCCCTGTCTCTAGTCTCTACACACACATACACGTGTTACACTACACCAAGCCATGCGTGTCACGCCTCTCTCTCAGCGCCTGTTTAGTTTTAATAAGTCTTTTACGGCACTTGCAACACAATAAAGTCATATAAGTGCCCAAGATTAGAGGTGTTACAAGAGAGAACTTAACAAACATAAAAAAGGAAGGAAGATAAAGACGATAGACGTTTGATAGGAAAGAAGAAGCAAACCACACCAGAGCACCCGCCAACCAGCCTCTCTCAGCGCCTGAGATAATGAATCATCACACTACTAAGTTTAGAGAACCACGTCATACGATGATAACCTTCACTCAGTCTCAGTCTCCTTCCCTCCCTCCCTCCCTCTCTCCCCCTCTCTCTCTCTCTCTCTCTCTCTCTCTCTCTCTCTCTCTCTCTCTCTCTCCTTCGTCATCATTCAATGAATCTGTTTAAAAATTTTTGGCGAAAAAAAAGTCACATATACCATTACCAGAGATGTCAGTGACCTTTCTATTATGTCCACATGTTGTTTATATGAATAATTTAACTTGTACTAACAAAGAAAGCATAAGAGCAACACTTTCCTCCAGAAGGAAAGTAAAAAAAAAACTTTCAGCATTTTCGTCCTCTCCTTTAAACAAATTGTTGATATACATGTCATAAACTTCCTTAACTCCTCAACACATAAAACAAAAATAATTTTGAAAGGCTTTGAGACAAAATGGATTACTCCCAATATTCGAACTTCAATTTTTTCCCCCATTTGACTGGTTGCAAGACGGATCTTCAATCTTTAAAAATTCAAATAATTTGGTCACAAAATGGACCGCAACCAACGACCAGCACTTCGCTAGTTTTCTTGTTTTTTGAACAGTCAACAGATCTCAAATTTAAAAAATCAGCTTTTCAATACAGATAATATTAATAATAATAAATAGCATTTGTACAGCACATACTGCCGCCCGACAGCAAGCTCTATGTGCTTTACTCTTTATTAAAGATTACAAATACAAAAATCCCCTTAATTTACAGCATACTGATCTTGAATAAAAAAAAGTCAGCTTCCTTTTCTCAAAAAGCAAATCATGAATAAGAAAATAAGCTTTTTAATTCAAGAGCATACAGATCACCAGCTGAAAAAGACACCCCCCTCCCCTCCCCAATCGTTCTCTACATTTTTCACATTTTGGATACAGCTTGTTTAGTCATCATCATTGCCTTTCTCACCCTGCATCAGGGTATAGGCCGCGAACAAACACTTTCCACCTTTCTCTATCCTTAGCTAGCCTCCTCATGTTATTCTATATCTTCCTGCTGATGCAGAAGCTCCTTCGTCTCCCAAGATCGAAAAATAAGCCGTGTTTGTCCGTGTTTCTGAAACTGACTGTATTTTACTGGGTCGGGTAGTTGGCCCTCTGCAAACTGGCACTTTTCGGGCAACCAGACATATGCACCTTTAGTCGCCTCTTACGACACCCAGTAGCATGGCAGGTGTACTCTTTGCTCCCCCATTGTAAAACTATGGGGCCCCCCTTGTTTTGTCACAAAGCCTTTATTTTCGGGTACTCACGTTGGGGTTCCAGGTGAGTCCCGTGGTGTGGTACTCCTTGATGAACGCCTGCAAGTTGGTCAAGGTGCTGATCCAGGAGCGCGTCCACTCCACATGGCGAGGGTCCTTCTCCTTGAAGTCCTTCAGCACGCGGTTGCTGTAGAACGTGCCAGCGTCGGTCATCTCCTTCACGTACGGTCCGGGGGTCGGAGACTGATGAGGGAAAGTTAGTTTTAGTAAGAGTTTTACGCCACTTGCAACAAAATAAAGTCATATAAGTGCCCTAGATTAGAGGGGTTACAATGGAGTAACAAACACAAAAAAAAGGAGGGAAGATAAAGACGGTAGACGTTTGAAAGAAAACAACATCAGAGCACCCACCAACCATCCACAATGAGGGGGGGGGGGGGGCATTTTTAGGGTGAAAATAACAGGATCAAACCCTCCCAACCCTCCAGGAAAAACAGTGATTTAGAGCTCCAGTGACAGTAAAGAGAAGCACATTGTTACAATCACAGCCTTTTAAAAGGGAAAAGCTAAACAGAAACAACAGAAGGTAAGGAAGAGTACAGAAGTAGGACCTACAAATGGCGCCCTCTAACCATACACCACAAATTTTTGCATGTGCTTAACAAGGAAAAAAAAGCAGCCTTTGGATGAATGTGCCCTCCCTGCATGTTGTTTTTCTGTGTTCTGCTGGTCAAGGTATGTCCTTTTCGGAGCTGATTATTGCCTGGCGACCCCCTATGCTAAACACAGTGTGTCTGCTCCTATGGAACCTTCTTGCGACTGATAAAACCGGAGTGCCCACCTGAAGTATTCCAGTAATTTGATTTCTCTCTGTGATTCATTCAGCCGAGGCATGTTAAATTTTTATTTTTTAAGAGTAAAAACTTTTTGAGGTGGTGAACGATTTGAGACGTGTCCTACTTTATGTGTACGGTTTTTGTCTTCACAGTTATTCACACCTTTTCATAGTATTTGACAGAATAATATCGATACCATGTGAATGATAAACCGCAACAAAAAACACAGACCAGTGCACCTTAGTGAGCACAGTACACGAAAAACAATGAGCTTCTGTGACCTGTACGGAAAATTCCCAAGTAATTGGATGCCTAGTTTTTGAGTTAGTTTTAGCTTTAGTTAGAGTTCTACGGCACTTGCAACACAATAAGGTCATTTAAGTGCCGGAGATTAGAGGTGTTACAAGAGAGTAACAAACACAAAAAAGAAGGAGGAGAAATACAGACGATAGATGGTTAATAGGAAAGAAGAAGCAAACCACACCAGTGCACCCGCCAACCACCCACTCTCTTAAAACGTGTGATGTTTAAAGTGAAATACTTACAATGGTGACCCATCCCAAGGCAGCAACAGACTCGCTGATGGCAGACAGATGGTTGAAGAAATCGCTTCTTCGATTGTTTTCACGAAATTCCTGTACAAATCAACAGAAAAAAAATATCAGTTAACATGATAAGTGTAAATTATAAGAATGGAAGAAAAATTGAACAAATAAATGTACAGAGAGTGGAAGAATGAATGAAGGAATGAATAAAAGCATGCATGAATCAGTGAACAAAAATTAGACGAAAGAACAAATAAATTTATGATATAAAATTATCTTTAGAGTATAGCACCAGAAGATTATAGATAATTTCTTAATCAAGCAGCTATATTGAGTTTCTTGCTCTTTACAAATCATTCAAAGAGAACTGAAAGCTGAGAAATTTATCTGATATATTTTTTTTTTGATGAGCTCATGCACAAAGATTTCTTCCCAACCTAGTGCTCCCAGAAGAGGGACGTATTTTATATATACGGTATGGGTTTAATTGCCGAATTATCAATGTCACCATAGCCGTGTTCATCCGCTGGTGCCCCACTCCCTGCCACAACAAGACCCCATCTTCCCCCGGACGACTTTGCTTTGATGTATTATTCCATGAAGTTGTAGACCACAGTCAGGTTTTATGTTTTCAACGTATGATGTACACGGTCTTCCCTTATTTCTCTTTACCTTTCATTTGACTTTTATCAACACTGTAAGGTCATTGATAAACTCTCTCCTTACTATATATCATTTTCCTCACTTTTATCAAGCAACATTGGCAGCCTTTTTTTCCCTCTCCTTTCTAATGGTTAACACTTTGCAGTCGCTTGGAGAAATAATGCGACGGAGAAAATTATCCGTTCTCGCGCCAGGCCCGAGAAGTCCGTTGCAGTCACTCTCCTGGCCGGGGGACCAGATGTGGTATTTTGTACAGCTGGCTGTATGACTGCAAAGTGTTAACACAAAAAAAAGGGCAATTTCTTCTTTATGCAAAAATATCAAGATGATAGCCCAGGATAGGGAAAGGCAGAAAGTCTTTGTGGTCTATACCCTGAACTGATGTAGGTGAGAAAGGCAGTGTTGATGATGATGATGCATTTCCATCAGATTTATTCTTCACGGTCTCTATCTATGTTCCCCCTCTCACCTGTGTCTCCCCCAACTTTGTTGCCATCGGCTTCAGCAGTTGCTGCAAAACACTCTGAAAGAAACAAAAAGGTTCAATGAGTTCTCCGCCAAATGTGAGTTTTACAACATTTTTTGCACAAGAAGCATAGGTGAGAGCAAAGTAGCAAACTATGGAATGACGTGGTAAGGGGTTTTGGTAGAGGTTTTACGGCGCTCGCAACTGCATAAGGTCATAGGAGCGCCAGAAGATTAGAGGTGTTACAAGAGAGTAACAAAAATAAAAAAAGAAGGAGGGGAGATAAGGACGATAGATGTTTGATAGGAAAGAAGAAGCAAACCACACCAGAGCACCCACCAACCACCCACTGGTAGGGGTTTGATGCCTCTTTCAACGAAGCAACATCACCAGTACAGTTATGAGAAGTATTGTAGATGGACAGCAATAAAAGCTCAAACTACTGATGTTAAAGAAAACGCTGTTGGAGATTGGAACCAGTCCTGCATAGCAAATGCCAGCAAGATATTAATTGCGCAAACCATGGACCCTCTACTGACAATATTATTCGTTGGAGGGTGCCAGTGGTGATTCATATTTTTTTCTCTTTGCCTCTATTGTTTCTGTCTTTCTTATTTTCCCCCAGCATGAAGTGACAGTTATCATGTTCACGTGCTTTTCTTTACAAAAATCAAGAACCTTTAAAAACATTTTTCTGATAGTGAGCTTACATTTTTTAATGTGTATGCATTTTTCAGACCCATATGACCTGAAACCCTCCACTACATCTTCCCTCCTACAGTTAAGTTAATATACTCTAAAACACACTGTTTGATCAAATATATAGATACACATGTGTAGACAACAAAATTTACTTGCTATTTGCTATTACCAATGTACATAAAATCTCATATTACCCCTCTCCGCTACACTCACTACATCTGTGCACACTACAACTTTCCAAAGGGGAATTAAGGCCCAGCTGACATTAACTTATTTGATTTATTTCCCACCGACAATGAAACATGGCAGTAGTCTGACCTCACTCCAATCTGGTGAACTCATGAAACTGAACTTATTACATTTTCTGCAGTTGGCAAATTTGCTTTTGGTGAACCACGGACTTCAGATATAAGTGGTTGACATAACACAGCAACAAGGCCCTGAGGAACTTCACTACATGTGGCAACTAACCACAACAAAGCTGTCCTGAGGGTGGTTGGCAGATGCTCTGGTGAGGTTTGCTCTTTCTTTCCTATCCAAATACATATCATCTTTATCTCTCCTTTTTCTGTTTGCTACTCCCTCGTAACAATACTTCTAATCTTTGGCACTTGTATGATTTAAGTTTGTTGCAAGTGCTGTAAAATTTTTTCCACAAAATGAACAGATTTTTGGGATGGGTTGTACAAATTACCAATCAACATTATACCTCTGCTGTCACTGTTGTGCAAAAATGAGTAACTCCGTTAGGCCCTTGTTCATTCTTTTCTCTTTATGTTGGTGTTTTTCAATAATTCAGGAGGTGGGCCTCCGACCCTGCTAGTTAGGACCAACCCAAGCTGAGAAGGATACATCCCAGCAGAAAGATCGAGACATACGCCACAAAAATTTCTTCCCACTCGGGAATTCAACTAATGTTTCCTGCATGTGACAGCAAAGCTCCTAACCACTACACCACAGATGCTGGAACCCTTGCACAAAGATAGAGGAAAAAATATTTGAGTTGCTCACTGTTCTAACAAAAAAAAAGTTTTTCACACCCCCCTATGACACAAGTTAGATTAATGTTCCTATAACTGCGACAGTTATTCACTACAACCCAAAAATTTTTTTTAATACTTAAAAAGAAGAAAAAGGATCATCCACCAACCATAACATGATGGTGAAATGAACAAGAATGCATCTAAAGATTTTAAACAATGGTAAGCAGCAACATTGATCATTCAGACTGTTACTATTATTGTTATGTTACTATTGTGGATATGTATTCATTCACCTGAACACCCCAAAACCACACACATCTAAACAAAACTCTTGTAAAAGTTCCATCATATTAAACGGAATTAATTTGATATGACAAAAGTATCGCTTCTGCAATGGCAAGAAATTAAATAACTGGCAAATAATATGCGATAAAAGCAAAAGAAGAGCTTTGTAACATATTTTTCTGGTAGTGAGCTTACATTTTTAAAACGTGTTTGCATTTTTCAGACCCATATTACCTGGGGAAAAGGTTATCAAAACGCAGCCAGAAAACCTTCCACTTCTTTGGCTTTTCTACAGTTACTACACTTTAAAACAAATATATCATCTCGTCGTCTGCAGAAAGCTTCCAATCATCTCCCTAATCACAAACAAATGTGGTGTCACGTTCCCTTTTTTCACCAAATTATCACCCCTGCTAGCAGCTGCATTCTTAAGAAGAATGCATCTTGATACAATCATCTTTTTTTTGTTGTTGTTGCTGTTGTTAAACTATCTCACGTCTGCTCAAGATATGGCACGGGTAAGATGAGAACATCTTTTAACACAACTTTTTTTGCTTCTTAAACAAATCATGCATGCAGATAATGATGTTCGCTGTTCTCAACTGTCTATTTGCTCTATGGGGTAAATACAGAAAAGGAAAAAAAAAAAACAGGATTATTTCCGTCATTTAAGACTATAACTCTCCCTGTGGTTTCGTGCACCCCACATAATTTAGCAAAATTTAATCATTTGTTTGTATAATTTCTAATTATTTTCCTTTATCATCCCTAGTTAAAATTAACAGAATCGCATAATTTCACATTTTTAGGCTCAGTTTGCATAATTTTATAATTTTCCTTGGATAAAACGATGGGGACAGCTATAAACTCTTTCCTCCAGCTGCCTTATGTGTACACAACATTTTTGCCAATGAATGCTTGAATTCATGTTTGCATGAACGTGCATGCATCAGCAAGCGTTTGAGTTTAAATATTTCGAAAAAGAAAAAGATAGCCGGCACAGACTAATCAGCTGATTTAGAACACTGCGTGACATGAGAAACAAATATTGTTTTAGTTTTAATAAGAGTTTTACGGCACTTGCAACACAATAAGGTCATATAAGTGCCGAAGATTAGAGGTGTTACAAGAGAGTAACAAACACAAAAAAGAAGGAGGAGAGATAAGGACGATAGATGTTTGATAGGAAAGAAGGAGCACCCGCCAACCACCCAAAAAGTTGAAAACAGAGGTAGGGACAGAAGACAAGGAAGTAGAGAGACATAGATATTTATTTAGTGTTTTACCGTACTTGCAACACAATGAGGTCATATGTAAGAGCCAAAGATTAGAGATGTAACAAGAGAGTAATAAACACAAGCAAGGCAGAGAGGAGAGAAAAGGGAAGAAGAGTGAGGGGACAAGGGAAGGAGAGAGAGAGAGAGAGAGAGAGACAGAGAAAGAGAGAAAGAGAGAGAGAGAGAGAGAGAGAGAGAGAGAGAGAGAGAGAGGGAGGGAAGGAGGGAGAGAGAGAGAGAGAGAGAGAGAGAGAGAGAGAGAGAGAGAGAGAGAGGGAGAGAGAGAGAGAGAGAGAGAGAGAGAGAGAGAGAGAGAGAGAGAGAGAGAAGGAGGGAGAGGGAGATAGAGAGAAAGAGACAGAAAGCAAGACAAGACAGAATGAAATAGCTTAAGAGACAAGTTGTACTTAAGGGCTAAAGAGGAGCACATAGGCGTGGTCACATTCACTTGATGTTTACATCTGGAAGTAAACAACACCTGTCCTCCACTACAACCGAAGGCAAACAATCAGGTGGTTTGGACATCTCACACGTATGGCACCTAACCAGCTTGCCAGTGAAGCCTACTACAGGAAAGTATCAGGGTACAAAGAAAGAGGAAGATCAAGAAAGACCTGGATCCAGGATGTGAAGGATACCCTGAGAACATTCAATATCCCACCCAGCTAGGCCATCAAACTTTCTAGAGACAGGAAGCTCTTTCCCCCCTCTACGCCCTAGAGGTACAAGAGGAAGGATAAAGTAAAGTAAGGAAAACTTGACAAGATCTTTACCTGGTCAGGCTGCTTGCTCTTTGACGCAACCACCAAAAAGCTACGCTGAGCATCGAAGGCTTGCTTCACAATGGCAGCCTGTGGAAACAGCAGAGGTTACAACAAAAAAATCAATTAATAACATAGCAAAATTGTTTTACACCCTACTTGAGACAATCATTTATAAAGGGACATTTTGACCCTGAGCACCTGTCAAGAGCTAGCCTGGGTTGAGTGGGATAGAGCACCTAAAAAGGCAGGTCAGTCCTTATCCTTGTCAACCCTTGTCACCAGTGTTGGGGTCACCACAGTCGGAACATGTCCATCTCTGCTACCCCCCCCCCCCCTCCTCAGGATCCATCCCAGAGTCTGTCTGCTTACAGTCTCCATCAAGTGGAGATATTCAATAAAATAACTTCTCGACAGCAGAATTGAACTAACATCTTGACTAAGCCTATAATGTATGGCACTCTCAAAACTATTACATTATTTAACTCTTTATCTCCGGCAAGCCGCTCCCAGCAGATCACGGTTGGAACCACTGTGCCGGTGAGCCGCTGACAGCGGCTCATGCACATTCCTTTACAACGACTTCGACATCAAATTACTTTCCGACAATTGCCGAAAACTGGTCTCTTATGCCAGAACTTCATTCTTTAGATGAAGAACTATCAAAATTGGATTGCTGGTTTCGATTTAATAACCCATTTAATGATGTTTTTGTCATTTTTAGATTTGGCACCAAAAAAGGGCCCCTCGGAGATAAAAGAGTTAAGAGGTAAAAGGCGGGACCTTTGAAAGTAACACCCATCTCTCACAGGACCGAGCCAAATGAGTTGACAGCCGCAACTCAATGAAGACGCGCATTCTGGACATTTGGCAATGTTTGAAGATATTGCTGTTTTGGGGTGTATCTTTATCATTCAAACAGATTTTTTGGTTTTGTTTTCTTTATTTGAAACTTTCAAAGGCATGTAACTAAAAAAAAATTCATGCCATGAAAAAAGCAAACTCGTGTTTCTGATTTGTGTAGGATGGTTCACAATGTGTCGAAATATTGTCTTTACACTGCTGCTAATCAGACGTATGTGTCCGCTACGTCTTCAGAGAGTTAAAAACAGGCCAAAAGTACATGTTCAGAACGCCCCATAGGACATTCAAACCAGAGCCGGGGACTCTCACGGTCTAGAGATTAAGGTGCTTGCCTCTAATTCAATAGGTCCCAGGTTCGAATCCGGGTAGCAATGGGGAATTTTTTTTCTAAAAAAAAATGTTCTCCTTTCACCACCTTTCCTGCTCTGTAACAAAGTTCTGTTGTCTGCTTTCATCTCCACTTTCCGCCCCCACCCCCTCACCTCCTTTGTCCCCTCCTCTGGACTCCTTACTCTTTCTGCAGCCTTTCTACTTTCCACTGCTACTCCTTGGCTCCTTCTTATTGCTGCCTATCTAATGGTAGGAAAGATCTACACCTAGCCTTCTCGGACAAGGGTGAAAAATCTCGGAGGTCCTGTGTGCAAGTTGCACACGATAAAGATATCTTGGCGGTCCAAAAACAATAAGAGTAGGCTTCCGCTGTCACCTGGGCAAAATTCAAAATTTCCTACCAGCTGAAAATGTTTAATATGTCCCGCGCGCTCATATGACCTTATGCAGTTGAGAGCGCCGTAAATCAATTACCAAAAAAACCAAACCAAAAACAAAACACAGAGCCATCTTTTCATAGTCCAATATGACACCAACTGAGCTAAAGGCACACCTGTATAAAGAAGAAAAAAAAATTTCATCTTTGAAAGATTTTTCATTTAATAAAATTTTTAAACACATCCTGAAATCCATGACACAAGAAACAAAATGCCTACCTGAGTTTTGACGTCACCGCCGATGTCATTTGACAGGGAGATGAATTTGGCAAGAGACGCTGAGATAATGTCAGCGTCATAAGCAGAGACTGATGGAGCCACAGCATCTGAGGGAAAACACAAAGAAGTTTACGGATATTCATAACTTGATAACTTTAGCTTTTAGTTTCAGTTAGAGTTTTATGAATCACCAACGCAGTGGGGGGCAGCATGAAGATCTACTGACCACAGTGAAGAAACGAAAACTAAAATGGTAAGGGCATGTCACAAGATCCACAGGACTTGCCAAAACAATCCTACAAGGAACCGTACAAGGAAAGAGAAAGAGAGGAAGACAGAGAAGGAGATGGGAGGACAACATTACAGAGTGGACAAGAAAGACGATGGGTGACAATCTGAGGAAAGCAGAGGACAAAGATAAATGGCGAGAGCTGGTTTTCAGATGCAGTGGTGCCCTCACAGAAGAAGACGAACAAGAGTTTTATGACACTTGCAACTCAAATAGGTTATATAAGTACAAAAAATTATAGTTTCTTAAAAATTATAGTTTCTTTGTTGAGTAAAGAGAAGCACATCTACACAATACCGTCCTTTAGTGTTGGGAAAAAAGTAATACAAAACACACAGAAATAAGAGAGGAAAAGTAAAGAAGTAGGACCTACCAGTGGGGCCCTCCAACAACCAGCGGAAATTACAGGTGTTTCTAGAGAGTAATATACAAAGACAGGGGTGGCTCGTGGGTCTAAAAAGTGGGCGTGCACAATTAAGCTATCTTAGGCTGTAGATAATCAAGGGCAGAGTAAATGGGATGGTGTATAATTTTAGGATCTTTGGGTTGGTGAAGGAAGACCTTGTGCTTTTATTTTCCTTCTTTTTACTTGTGGCTTTGACTTCTAGAACTAAATCTGTTTGTTAGCTAAACGTCAATTTCATTCATCCTGCATTAGAACTGAACACTCAAGTAATACCTTTCACCACTCCACTACAAAACCGTTCAAAAGCACAACTCATAGGATGGCGACTTAAGTATGTCACGTTCACCTCCCTCCGGTTCACGGTCACAGAGTCACTTAAAATAGCGACAAGACAAGGAACCAATCACAATTCACTTGAGCACTCCGCTGGATTGCTCCGGGGCCCACATAATTTTGGCATGGAATAGTGCAGTCTATGGCGTTTATTTTTAGACTGCCTACTGTGGGCTATGTTTCGGCACTATTCGGCAGGAGCACATTTGAGATGTGCTGTCTTATTAATATTAATGTACCGTCAAACTCGCTACAAGTGTCGTCATCGCTTAGGTTATCCCAAAGAGCGATTTATAGGTCAGGTTTCCACTGTTGACTATCCTGTTATGTTTAGATACAGCGCATGAACTTAGGCATGGCATAGCAGATGTTTTACGGCGCTATAGAATAGAAATGACAGTTACGGCACCAGCGAGGGCCTTGTTTTGATATAATATTTGCCTAGTGTGTGTTTCTGGCGTCTTTTATTTTATTATTGTGGGTGCTTTACGTAATAGAACATTAAAACATTTTGGGCGGCACTGCACGACCGTGCTCTATGGATGAACCGCGCCTGTACAAAGAAAAGGGGAAGAGAGATAAAGATGTTAAAAGTTTGATAGGAAAGAAGGAGCAAACCACGCCAGAGTACTTGCCAACCACCCAAACACCTTTAGCCTACTGATAGAGATCTGTTTCATCTTCAGTACAATTTACGGTTCAGTAGTCTCCGCCTAAGATCCCACCGCTTACGATCCTGGTTTGCTTGACATATTCTGCCGTTTTAAGAAAACAGAATTTTTACAACACAAAAGTCACCCTAAGATCCCGCTCCGATTCACTCTGAAGGTCTAGACTCTACATTCGGTAAAGATCCCGCATTTCAGATAGTAGTTTACAAAAAAAACATGGGCGGGCACAGCCGATCAACAGAGTGAAAAGTTGAGATAATTGAACTGCCTGTAGCGTCAAAGATCAGCCACTCTCGTGAATGTAATCATATAAGTGTAGTAAAACTTAATGAAACTGTACAATGTTTGTCCCAGACGGGAACACACTGAGGTGTGAACTGACCAACGAATTTATTTTCCCCAAACATGACACTCGCATCTGAGCTCTCCACCTAAACATACATCACACTCTGGATGGGAAGGGCCTACAAGATTGCACTGCAACAGTTGTCTTTACTTCTGAATTTGCGAGACGGTGAATTTTAACTGGTTCGGTCACAACATAATGGCGCGTAACAACAAAGTCCGAGGAACTTCGTCAGAGACGGAAAGCTATCAATTTTGGACAGGTCAAGGGCAGGGGGCAACTGGATAGGCGTAGATCTTGAGACTCACGATAGGATAATAAGAGAAAATGGCATGCTTCATGCCACTGTGATCGGTCATCAAGGTTGACTGCTCGTTGTTCGTCATATGTCATCAACCCAGCCAGGGGTCACATCAGTTCATTTCAGAGTGAAAGGCGACCATTCTACCAGTTTGAGGCCTTAACTTGGGTTACCGTAGATGCTTTGCATAAGATCCCGTTTGCCTAAGATCCTGCATTTTCTTTGCTCCTCAGCATCAGGATATTAAGCGAAAACTACTGTATTAACAAAAGTTAATGAACTGTGGCTATAGATATGGTCTCTCATGAAGATATCAGAAAAGAAAATGAACTATAATTTTCATGATGCCTTAATACATAATTTACAGCAATTTCAGCAAAAAGAAGAGAAGATGTCTGCCACAAATAATCTCTTACACAAAATAATTGGAAAATATTTTTTTTGTTTTTACCATTTTCTTTAATGTTAACAGTATGCTGTCTCAAAAAGGTTACGAGCAAGTCCCCTGGGATGGTTCAGGAGTACTGCGTGCTGAGATATACTTAAAAAGTCTTAGTAAGCGTGTTACGGCATTTGCAACACAATAAGGTCATATAAAGGCCAAAGATTAGAGGTGCTACAAAAGATTAACACATAGAAAAGAAGTAGGAGAGATAAGGACGATAGATGTTTGATGTTGAAGAAGGAGCAAACCACACAGAGTGCCAACCAACCCCACACGTTAATTTTCAATAGTAAAAATACAGAAAGCCAAATTTTTTTTTTGGTGGTTTGTGGGGGGGGGGGGGGGGGGGGGGGGGGTGAGAGGAGAGGGGAGTTGTTATGGCAGAGAGAGGGAGAGAGGAGGATGGTGACAAAAGAATAATAGAGACACAAAGAAGCAGTAACAAGCGTCAAACTATCAATGACCCCTTGTCTTAGTTTTAGTAAGAGTTTTACTGCACTTGTAACACAATAAGGTCATGTAAGAGCCGAAGAATAGATTATGTGTTACAAGAGAGTAACTATAGTAACATACACAAAAAAGAAGGAGGGGAGGTAAGGGTGACAAATGTTTGATAGGAAAGCAGGAGCAAACCACACCAGAGCACCCGCCAACCACCCACACCCCTCCCCCCCAACCCCCCCCCCAAAAAAAAACAACAACTATCAAATAAAAAAACAACCCCAAACCATCCCCTGTACACACAAACAGACCTGCATCACCAGCAGCTGCTCCTTTTCCACCAGACAGAGCCAGACCCTCCAGCCGCGACGCGACGGCTTCCAACCTGGACACCACCTGCTGCAAGTTATCCGACATCTTGGCTGGACCTTTAGCGGCAGACAAGACCTGCGAGTTCAAAACTTTTAGCTGAGAGGCCAGACCAGGTATCGCTTGCTTTGCCTCCCTAGCAGGGCGCTCTTCGGCTTCACCTATAGAGTGCTCTAGCTTATCGAGTCCGGACACGATGGGCTTTAGGAGATCTATGTTAGAAGCTTTACTCTTTAGTTCTCCGAGATTCGAGCTAACGGCAGACTTTGCTTCCGTGAGAACAGACTCCTTACTACTTATCTGAGACTCAATCTGAGATAAAGCTATGGGTTTCGCGCTCTCTACCACACCTGACAGAAAGCTTTGAGATTGGGGTGTGGTTTCTTCAGACTCTTTAGGCTTGGCGTTATTACTAGCGGACTGAGCTTCAGCCTTGACCGTGTCCTCAACGACAGCAGCCTTCTGAGTGGCCGCCTGTACAAGTGCTGAGGTCGGCTGTTCGGTGACGGGGCTCTTCTCCTTCTTGGTCGCCGAGACGGTGCTCTTGTCCAGCTGGGCCTCTGCCGGGATGTTCTGATTGGACGAAGACAAAGCTCCCTTTCCCGTTTGGATGGAAGCGCTGAGTGGTGGGTCCCCTCCGCTTTTCGGTGGAGAGCCTTCTTTCGGCGCTTGCTTCTCGCCTTCTTCTCCAACAGTGTACGTTGTGGACTTCTCTTTGGGACAGCAGCAAAGCATTGTTACTGAGAGCGCATTGCTACCCTCGGCTGTGGGGCTACACTGCTCTGTAGAGGAAAGGAGCAACACCAATTGTTTCCTTCTGCTCTTTGGGCCCTTAAAAAATGTATCCCATGGATTGACACGCCCTGGGTGGCTTTATAGGCAACAGCTATGTCACTCTCTATGTTTCATGAGCACAAAAATACAGGGTTCACTTAACTTTTAATTTTCTTTCAAAATGAAATGCAGTCGAACCTGATCTAATGGCCACATGTCCAAGACAAACACCTGTACAAATGGTTACTTACCACTTCTCACCTTGCATTTTGTTTTTCACTATATTATAATTACATTGTCAAAGACATCCATCTGTCTGAGACAAAAAAAAGTCCGAATGTTACTTAAACACACAAAAAAGCATTAAACCTATCAGTACATCTTTGGACAACCATAAGTTAACAGCCACCAGCAAAGCAGTCAGCAAGGGAAAACTAGATGGGTTTACTTCATTGTCAATAGTTTTATCTACTGACAATAAATTTATGAGTTGCACCAGTCAAATAAACGTTTTCAAGGGCTTTAAAAGTTTTTATTTTGTTTTAGGTGAGCTAAAAAATATGTGTTACTATTATAGAATTTCAACAGGTGTTACCATTCTTTGATTTACAAGGATGAAAAACGATATTAAAACATTACTATTAATTTATTCACCTGCATATAAAAAAAAAAGGAATAATATTCAGTCAGACCCCCCCCCCTCCCACACGACAATGACTGAACAATTAAAAAAGCCTCGTCATAACCAGGAACATTGAAAAGAAGATAATAAATATTATAACAAGATGCAATGCATGCTTTAACACATTATGTTAATCCCAAGAGCAGGACACAAGCAATACCACTGCACTACTAGGTAGGTACTGTACCTCAGACATATTTCATATGTCAGTTTGCTTTTGTTGGTGTTGACATTTAGCTATCTCAGAATTACAAAGTTTTATCTGACACTTTTGGCAGTATTGAGTTATAAAGACCATGCGGTTAGAAACCAAATATTCTATCTGCTACATCAAAATCGTAAGAGTCGTTATCATGACATTCAAAGCTTTGCATTAAAAAAAACTTGACTAGCTGTGAAACAAATTTTTTTTTCCATCAAATTTCTAAAATCTAGGTACTGAGCAGATAGAACTTCATAATTCTAAGGAAAAGATTTGTGTCAACACCACACCCTATGCCTAAGCACTCAATTCTTAAACAGAGGAGAACACAGGACTGAGAGAAAACGTATGAAGAAAAAACAAACAAGCTGTGGTTCTAACCATGATTTTCACAGAATCAGTCCATTTCATGACTAATGCATGGCACTACAAGTAAAGGAATATACATAAATGTATATCAAAAAGGCATCTGAAAAAACGACTTTTCAGCTATATCATACAACGGTTTCTGGTCTCTCAGAGGCCAACAATCATGGCCTTAGTATTTGTCATAAATGCAGACATATGACATATTTCTGGGCAGGTAGGTACATTAATGTTGCCCAAAAAGGGAAGAAAAACCTTTAAAACATACATATCAGTCATGAAAAGGACTCAAAATGACCAGCTGTGCAAACGTTTTTTAGTCAGGTACAGGCCTCAGTAATGTTAATAAGCACACCATGTGAAATGAAAGTCTACCACACTACATGACATATATGACACAACGTGAAAGATGGGACCACTAGATTTCTATAATCAGGAAGTAAAAAGACTGCTTAGCATACGAGTATATCTACTGTTATATTTCAAAGTTCAGTCTCAGGTCAACCTAATATATGCACTCCTTATGACAGAACTGCATTCAATCTAAAAGCCTCATGCACTTTTGCTGATCTCCAGAAAGTACTCAAG